CCAGTGGCCTGCAACCTGCCATGGAAGGAAGCCAATAGCAGAGGCAAAGGGGCTTTCTGCTAGCTACAACCAACTCCAAGCATCGCATGGAAAAATTAGCCAGCTCAGCATCTTGAATATGATCATCTGCAGTTGTAAATTGGCGCATGAAGCAGGACAACAGGTTCCTAACATAGCCCATGGCTGGGCAAGCACAGCCTGTCTATTAGCTAAGTAATTTACAGGCCACCACATTTTTTGGCAGAAATTGATCCTCTTGTGGATCAAGAAAGGGTCCCATTAACTTCTATGCGACTGATGCTACATAAGGTCTGGGCCCACAGGCTTGCAGTGTTCAAGCTGAGAGGTTCTGTGTGATCAGACTGTATCAGCCCAGTGCAAGTCGGACAGAATTAGTCACAATCTTTTGATCAGCTGTGGATGGAACTGAGCATTTCTCTACCCAGCGTAGGACAGTGCTTAAAAAGACACTAAGGCTCTAGGCCAATTGGATGATTTGAGAACAGATGTTGTCAATATATGAGAGTATTTTGAAGGGAAAGACATCCTCAGACTCTCACACCCAAGATGTATCCTGTTTTCCTGCCTTCAGCCAGCTGCATATTATTCCAGTATCACTTCAAGCCATGGAGAAAGCTGGTACTTTAGTGTTTCCTTTGCCTGACATCATTGCTTCCTATGTGTTCTTTAACCCACCTGTTGGTCAGTCAGTAGCCAATTAACTACCCAAAAGCCCTGCTAACTGTACGAATAAGGTGTACTCATGTGCCTGCAAATGAAGGTGGTGGGAGTATTTTAGCTAGATGTAATGGGATTTGCTTGGGAATATTTTGTAGTTCTTCAGAAAAAAATCTGCAAAATCTTTAAAATACACACTGTTGTACACGTCACACAGAAGACAAACACATCTAGCACATGTTCCATCCCTTCTCTGACCACACACCAAACCATTTTCCCAGTTAATTATCGTTAATCATCTTTTCCTACCTACTCCTTCTCAACACAAACATTGCTTCTTAATAGTCATGAAATTCACCTCTCTTTTTTCCAGCACAGAGAGTTGTGCCACAAATGCAGTGGCTGTATAATTATCCAGTTGGCCTCCAATAACCAGCTTATACATCAGTACAGCCTCCTGCATGCGTTTTTGTAACCTCTGCATAGACATATGTCCCTTACAACAACCACTGTACACGCACACCTCATTGACTTCAGCTTCTTCCAGCAGCCTGGCTATCATTCTCAGCACATGCCCCCCTCTACAACTCTGCCAATCATGTAAGCACAATGGCCACCAGACACATCTGTCCCTAACCCAGTCCACTCGTAGACAACAGCATCTCATACATCCATGTACCTATCTTCACTAACTGTATGCATTTATCTGTGCCTCCTATGTGCTCCTCCTGTGCGCTTAACTCACAACCTACCCTCATGCTTCCATGCACACTTGCACATGCATGGCCTCCTGCAGTTGTAGCCAGCCTCCCTTAAACCAACAGGCAGATCACCACAGATGAGATCACCACTTATTCACTTTTTGCACTCTTCATCTATCTTCCCTCCCCAAAAGCTACTTTCATTCTCACAAGCCCCACACCCAGGTCTGTAATCCTTCCCTGCACTTCCTTCATCTACTTTGAGCCTGCAATGTGCACAACGCTCTCTTATTAGTCACAACTTTTCATATCTTTCACCTTCCCTTCCACAGCCTTTACAAGCACAACTGGCATATACCTTCCTTGCTCACACATCATCATGTGTCAACCCATGTTGACATGAGTTCCTCCCCCCTCATAACGTAACTATCACTCCCATTCACTTCACTTCATGCCCTACAGCTCCTATCACCATGCACCTCCCCGCAACCTGCACACTTTACTTTTGACCCTAGTACAACCACGTGTCTTAAAAAGCCCTCCAGGTAGTTATCCTTCCCATAGTTTTCCTCCCACTATGTTATATCTTTAGTCATTACTCAGCTAGCACATTTGTACCATTCCCTCTTACTGCTTAGTCAGTACCTACCACAAACTCCTTGGCTTACATTTCAATTCTCTTGTTCGAAGAAATACCTCTTTTTATTCATCTGTGTGTTGTGACACCCACACCCACACCCACACCTGACACTATTCCTTACTTCCCATTGTTTTCCTCAGCTGCTGCCCCTGTACCATATTGCCTGTTCTTCCCTTTTATTATACCAGTTACCCAGAAAGAGGCAGCCATTCCTGCCCTTCTGGACTATTTTCTCTGTTTGCCTACAAAGCCAGGCACAACTCTAAATTTCCTTCACCCTGCTCTCTTGCCCCATAACTCCTGTAGAACACATTTTGCCCAGGCATCTTTACACAAAATCCAGCCTTAATTTTGTCCTTTAGACAGGGATCCTTTAGATCCCTTGTTTTTCCCCATGCTTGTATTTCTCAAGATCTATCACATCTTTATATACCTGCCACAGTTCACCCTGCCCACATAATGCTCATGATCTTGCATTTCCTTACAGCACCTTCACACAGCTTTTTCCTCAATTCTGCCTCTCCCTCACAACCAGGTACCAAATGTCTTCAAGACTCTAGCAGGCTTCCATCCTCCTCTGAAATTTCTCCTAGCTCTTACCTCCTCATATACCTTTATGGCTCTCTATACGCTTTCCCCATCCCCACACATTCAGTTCACATCCAGCTCATTTTTTCCTCCCTATTTCTTTCCTCGGCATGTGTTCCACTACCACACAAACCTTCCCTTTCATACGCTAACACCTTCCTTGCAAATACCTCACCTTATCTAGTTCTTGACAGTCAGAGGGTCTCCTTTAGACCCCACGCAAGCATCATGTATCCGATTATTTTCCACACCTCTCTCCAAATATACAATAGCTCACATTTTTCATCCTCCTCCAAACATCCTTTGTGTCTTGTGCTTTCACCCATCTCCCTCCACTCCCACTGCATACCCTAACTCCCCCTTGCAGACCCTAGCAACCTTGTATGTCCCTTTCTCTATCCTCATCAGCCTCCAGTCTGCACCTTTTCCCCATACCTCCTATGTGTTACTTCCCCTTCTGAGCTTCTAAACTTCTTTCCACCCACAAAGATCCTCTTTTCCCAGTTGCTCTGCAGCAGTGCCCCTTTTATGCTGACCACCTTTGCATTGCTCACCTGCCCTTAGTACCCAGACACATACTATTTGATACAAAGCAGTTTTCTTTTCAACATGTAGCACCTTCCCTCCAAACTCCTTATATCTAACTTTGTACGTATCATTTAATTCATCCTTCCCTGAGGAAAAAACCAAAAATCCAAAATCTACATGTATCCCATACCTCAACATACTGCACCCTCCTACACAAAGCACTCTCATCCTGGCCCCACTGGTACATCCTCTTCTCCCCATATTTTGGTTAACCCATCTGTAATTGTACCTAGCTTCCCTCCCCCTACTGTGCTCACACACACAGCGCCATGGTATTGATGCATGTATCTGCGACCAGTCTTTTTAGTACAAGCAGTTGGAACCATGCCGAACTCACTTTCATTCTATGCTGCTTTTGTCTGTCTTGCCATAAAGCAAAAAAAAAAAGCATTTTTTTATTATTAGATTTTCCCTTTTCTGATGTCTTATTTGTAGGTGTTTCTTCCACCACTCCTCTACTCACACGCTTACACAGGTCAGGTATTTCTGTTTCTGAGAACGTCTTTCCTATTTGTCTGGGTATTTTCCTGAAGGCACAACGTAAAGGCAAACTTTACATACCATTTGCACTCCTCATACAACAAATCACACAAACCAAGCAGCAAGGAGCCCAGCGCTTTCTCAGTTGTATTGTAGTTCATAACAACCAACTGGACCACAGAGCACACATCCCTGTCTATTTTAAAAGGGGGGGAAAAACACCTCCCCCCTACACACTCTTCTCTAAATAACTGGTTTTGCAATATAGGAATCAGAATGCGTGCATAGCAGCCCTATTCAATCCAAAATATCCATCTCTCCAGATACTGTATATTTATAGTTCAAGAGACAGGATCAACACAGAGCTTTCCCGTTTATTTTAATGAAGGATTAAGAACTGATCAGAAAACTATCTAAACCATTCAAGGACTTTTTCCCCTCTTGGCTAATAGCAGTTTGGTGTCTCCATAAGGACTCGCCAGTAACTGACGCTTTAAGCTGCATTTCAGCTGTTTAGATGAGAAACAGCTTTCTATTTTCCTCTAGATGTGTGTCTATATTGATTAGTCGTGTGCTGCATTCCTAGAAGGCACTTAGCAAACACTGGAAATTGCAGCGTAAGAACAGTTTTCCTGCCTGCCTAGCACAATATGAATGTATCTTTTTCACCTAGATGCAGATGTGCAGAGGATCCTTTGATCTCCGGTTTAGTGTTTCTGTTTGAGGAAAACGGGGATTGATTCAAAGATCATGAATAGGGTTTCCAACATCTAGCCAAAAAAAACCCAAAAAACAAAAAAAAAAAACAAAAAAAGTACCAGTACTGTTAGTTACCTGAGACATGCAAGGTCTAGAAACAGAGAATTTGGACTTTGCTTGTCATGGGCTCTAACTTTCCCTTAAGGTCAGCATGCTACTTTAGCTGAGGTTGGTTCTCACAATCCCTGCTCAAGATTTGCAACCCCTTTTTTTGTATCTGAAGATGCTGGTTTCCCTCTTAAAATACAACTAAGAGTCTCTTTGCTTTTGCCTCTTAAACCAGATTCCTTTCGCACCTCATATTTCTCCTTTGCTGTTTCCCTTCCAGAGACCTGAACAACAGCCTGTAGAGCAGGAGGAGAGAGGAACCTCAGGACTAAAGAAAGCTATGGGGCAGCAGGGGTGGGGGAAGGAGGAGGCACAGCGGGAAAGTTAGCAACATTTGGGACAGATCTACTGCTTACAACACCCCCCCATCCCCATTATACTTCTTTAAAGAACCCCTCTCCCCCCCTCCCCTCCCCGCCCTCTTAGGACCCTATTAGAAAACGTCAAATTTCCCTTACCGTGGTAGGAGTAACCATGGCATCCGTGTGAATGTTTCCAGAAAAGTCGACATGAAGAGAAAGGTGGATGTAAATATGTTCATTCAAAGTCCCAAAGTTGGTCGGGTTGGGCTGTGCAGAGTTGCTCTATGGGAGAGGAGCCTTAAACTCTGAGTCCCGTGAACATAATCTGCTCGATTATAACAAACCAGCTCAGCCAGATGGCTCTGTGCTCTGCAGATTAACCCCTTTATTGCCACACTCTGCTTTTCCTACCTACTATTTACAATAACCTTGCCTGGTTGGGGAATTTCAGAGAATGAGGCATTTTCCTGAAAATGACAAAACTGTCATAAAGGTCGTTTCCCCCCCGTGTTTGCTAAAGAAAACCATCATGTGCCTATTTTCTTTTTTTAATGCTATTGATAATTTTTTCCTTCTTCCTGGCAAAATCTTTTCATATCATTAAGAACACTATTAGCACCAGGGAACATTTGAGACAATTCTTTTGTTAAATCATAGCCACCTCCTCTGGACTGTGATTCCCAGAAGACAGTATTTTATTGGAGGAATGTCTCTGCATTTGCACTCTAATGGTCCAGCCACCCTCCCTCCCTCCCTTTCTCTCTCTCTTTTCTCTCTTTTCCCCATGCTCTCTCTGTCTCCCACACACACGTTCACACACACACACCCCCACACCCCCCCACACCCTTTGGTCAAATTGCCAGCATGTGTTGATATTCTTACCCATATTCAGAAGTCATTATAGGACATGTAAAACAGGTGAAATAAAGAAACCGGACTAGAACGTTATAAAGCTCTGCTCCCTCTCCTGGCTCCTCTTTTTTTTTTTTTCTGTTTTGTTTTTGTTTTGATTTTCAGTTAGTATTTCCGTTAACCAAGTCACTCCCTGCCATAACACAAAAATAAGTGTTGGGAGCAACAGTCGCTGTTAAGAACAGACCTTTGGATAGATTTGTGGTCAGATATTCCTCATGTTTTGATCCGCAGATTAGTCCATTAAGAAAAGGATGGCGAGTGCCAAAAACATGGAAAGTTCATCAGCAACCAGCAGCGACCGGTTTCCAAACTTTTTATTTAGAGTGATCACTCACAGAGATGGCTGATAAATTTAGCTGCATGCCTCTGAGTCTCCCTCTAAATTTACATGCTTAAGTCATCTTTCTTTTCTATTTGATTCAAGCATAATTGAGCAAGTCATAACCACAAGAAAGTGGTCAAATAAGATACCCTATAATACTTCAAATCTTAAAAGACACAAACTTGTTTCCTTAAAGAATACTTCCTTTACCAGCTCATGCAGCTTTCTCTTTTGCTGTTCAACTAAAGGCTTTTTCCTCTTCCCCCCCCGTGACATGATGACTAGCCCTCCCATGATGTCAAAGCATTGTACTATCTTCTTTAAGACCTTTAAATCAGCCTAGATAGTTGTCATAGATTTATTAAAATATTTTCCAGTGTAGGTTGAAACATGGTTGTTGTTGTTTGTTATGGTTGTCCTCTACCTGATTTTTTTCAACCATAAAATGAGCCCATTATAGGGAAATTTGAATTCCACACATTGTAGCTGCCTTGTAAATCTGCCTGAGTTGCTTATTGCTTCTAAATGTCTAGACATAGAAGAAAAAGAGTAATCTTCAAACATTGCCTCCTAAGATTATTCTTCTAAAACTTGCTGCTGTGCCATTTCACCAAAAGCTTTAAACCTTGAAAAACTCTAGAGCCTTTTTGTCGTCATAGTTTGACTGAACGCAGAACTTCCATTGTTTTTAGAGCTTTTTCAGCAAAAAGGAGGGAATCAGAATTCAATCCTGTCCTCCCCCACCAGCGCTACAGTCAGATCCGAGAAATGCCTAAAATATGACTCAGCTTTTAATCTACTGAAGTAGACAAACAGTGCCAGTAATAGAAAATTTTCATGTGGCTGGCAAATGCTATGCTCCTCTAGAGGTAGGCAAAGGGTTAAATATCTGAAGGCAGCCCAAACTTTGCAGTTGCAGCTAGTCCAGCAAAAAGAAGGCAAATACATAGGCTACAAGTAAATGCTAGACACAGAGGGACTGGCTGCCTCTGATAGGAGGTAAAGCTACCAGAGCCATGCCTTGCGCACGAGTCGGGGGGTTTTGCCCTGTACTTGTGTCTGGGTCTGTGGGCAATCAGTGTGCCTTGTAATTTGAGATGTGACACCTTAATCTTGCCAAATATGTATGCGCTGTAAAAAGCATTGTAGACAGGGCATCTTCACAGCTATAGAAAAGGGAGACATGTTTGATACTTGCAGTTTTCCAAACTCTCTCCCGAAGACATTTCTGTTGTTCGCAAACTGCTTTTTTCTATATATTTGAACATCTTCATCTGTTATTCTGAATGCTTTTGTAAGTATAATCCTTAGAACAAGTGGTTTTTTTTTTTTACACTTCAAACATGTTTCTCACTTTTTGCTGGTAAACCGTAAAGCTCCCAAATGATCGCCTAATTTCAGGTATAGTCATTGGATCTTAAGTTCTGACATACCAGTAAAAATGGTTTTACTTTGAACAAGTCTCTGTTCAGTCTTGAAGAATGTGCAATACTCTGAGTGTGTTGTAGAAAGTCATCATTAATTTCTGAGGATTTTAATTGGAATAACTGCTAGGCACTGATCTGATTAATTAGGTCCTTGATCAGACTTTAAAATATGTATCATTTTATACATATTAAACACATGTATCTTTCTGTATATATTAACAGATACCACTCTAATTGCCTTTGATGTTAATAAAATAGAATATTTATATGTAAGATATGCATGTTAGCATGTAAATGGCTGAAGATTGTTACTGGATTAAAGGTATACCTCAGGTCATTACAAAAGCAGGCAGTTAGTTTTGCCTGCTAACCGTTAGCTTTTGCAACAGCACCACTCTGTGGTCGAAGTGTTGAGTAGCTACTGTAGGTGTACCACATGCATTTCAGCAAGTTTGCAATTTTCCCATGGTGATTTTAATACATATCGGCAAGTACATTTACTGGTAATGGAAGTACGTTCCTAACGTGTTCCACCATTTATCAGAAGGTAGTTTGTTGTAAAGATGAAAAAGAAGAACTGGGAGCAAAAGATTTCTGACCGTTTTCCCATGATATGTTAGCTCTGAACATTTTGTCCAATGAAGAATTTCAATTTAGGAGGCTGTTCCCCTTTCAGATGTCAAAATCACTTTCATGCTAGTTTCAAGAAGTTAATAGAGGGTGTGACAACATTGCCAGAGAAGATTTTCTGTGGTGTATGTTGTAAATGTTTTGTTAAAAGTAAAAATGAATGCAATCAGAGGTTTTCTTTAATTGAGGGAAATGGTCACAGGGGAAAAAAAAAAGACTATTTAAAAATAATTTGTTTAATTATTATAAAAAAATACCAAAGACAGCATTTTAGAGCTGACAGAACTGATGAAACCTTATTGACATTAGACTTCCATGCACAATTGTATCAGTGCTGAACTCAAGCTATCAGGTGCACTCATGTTGGGATTTTCCGCACATCCCTTACACTCTTGCACCCAGTCTAGAGAAATAACAAATATTAAAGAGAGATTCCATGCAGGATGCACAGACTAGGTCAAATTTAGCTCTGTCACATTTCTTGAAAGCTTGTCCTCTGCAATTCTTCTTCTTTTGTTAAAAAATAATCTGATAAGTGCTTAAAATAATCAGAACAGCTCATAACAATTGACAAGATAGGGCCATCAAGATAATAGAGTGAAAAACCTGTACCCAGAGCTGTAGACATGCCAAAAGGCAGGATGGAAAAAATGCAGGACAAGAATCATTAATTAGGGTCACACCCTGAAAGTCATTGCTATTCGGAGCTATTCCTGAAAGCAATATGCTTTGCAGAGTTAGCTCCTATGCAGTTCACCTGTAAACTTATTTTATTGACATTAGTAGGCCTGGTTTCATGATGAGAATTACCAGAATGAGATTAAATAAGGTCCTAAATATGCTATTAATTACCAAAAAAAGGCTATTTTTTACCTATTGTTTGAGTAGAGCCACTATCACTCTCTTGAGTAAAACATTTCACACATACACAACATAGCAGTATTCAGGCAAAGATTTTTAAGTGTTTTACAAATGCTATTAATTTCTAGGTTTCATTGTTCAATGAAATGTAGGGATCTGTACTCCTACTTATTAAGTAGTATACAAGAGGTGACTAGCCAATATGCAGCTATGTTTTGGCAGTAGGGTTATGGATCATTACAAATCTTCTCCAGTATACTGACGTGTTACATCACTTATCAATTTAGCACATATTTTGGACTTCTATAATATTTGTAATTTTTCTGATGGTATCTAGTTCTTCCAGAGACCATCTTTATTGGAGGAATTATGAAGACATATTACAGCAGAACATGGTTAGCTGATGATAGGCACAATTTCTGGAAACAAAAAATAACTGCTTGGTAACATTAAATTTTCTTTCAGCCTCTACTTACCTGTTATGCTTACTAAATCAGTGGAACAGAACTCACATAACTATCTACAAAAAATCAATCTCTTTCTTACAGAAGTGCTAAGAAAAAGAATTGTCAAATTAAAGCTACAACAAGAAGTTAGACAGGAGTAGCTAATTATGCTGAAACTGGGAAGAAGTACCTTGAGTTTTTAACAATCCCAGATGGGTGAGAAGATATTGGGAATCACACTGTCATTCTGTTGCAAGGAAGATAAATTCCACGCGGGGGCCGATATAGAGGTGCATAGCCTGCAAGACATAGGAAATAGTCTGGTGAGACCTCAGCTAGGATATGGGAGCCGGTTCTAACCAAGATCAAGAAAGATCAGGACCAGTCAGAGAAGACCTGGAGAATGCTAAAGGCAATGATCCGATGTTTAAGAGACTTTAAAACATAACCTATGAGGAAAGACTGAAACAATTACAGTTGTTTACCAAGGAAAAGAGAACTTGGGAGGTGGTAGGACTGAATACTTAAAGCTCTTAAAAGGCATGGGAGAGAAGAACTCACAGCCTGAGTGAAGGGGACAAGAACTAAGAGATCTGTGTTACAACAAGAATGATTCAAGTTCGACATGAAGAAAAACTGGAGAGCCCAAGCTTCAGAATAGCTTGCCTAGGCTACTGTGATGTCTGCCTCACTGAAGGTCATCACAAGCAGGTTAAACAAAACCTGTCAGGTCTGAAAGACCTGTAATTGATCCTGCCCTGAGGCAAGGGGAAGGCCTAGGTGGTCTCTCCCAGCCCATCTTTTCCATGACCCTGTGACTAGCATCTCCTTTGAAAAAGAATGCTTTCTGGAACATCATGTCCTTTGCGCTCTAGCCTAGCTTTTGAAGTAAAACTTCCAGTGAAATCTGAGAAGTTTCTTCTAGATAATCATGCCTTGGTTTGCATCACTAAGGGACTTTATCATTAGGGGAATCCACTGCTACATACAGCAGAGCTACTTGCTGAAACGAAAGTGCACACTAAAATTTCCACAGAAG